GAACATTAGAGTAACGACCTCGGACAAGATGTTGGAAAAAACCTCCTCTCCGAGCCCGGGGGCCTGTATGTTGATAGCCGAGTTGGCTTGGATTGAACCGGATACCGAACCGCTCAGGACCGAGCTGAAGACCCGGTCTGGTGAAGAAATGCCGAGCTGAACCGAGGATTAAAGAGGTGTAGAGCCACCACAGTAACGTTCTCTCAGCCCGGCACCTGGCTCAGTCCGGACAAAGGCCGGCCTGGAGGGGTGCTGGACAGAAAGAAGACTATTCGCAGTCTCGTGAACACTTTCGAATGAGGTGCCGGCCTGAAAATCTGAGGAGGCCGACCAGAGGGAAAGCGCAGGCCTCAATGAGCATTAAAATATTCCCACTTGGGAGACCATCATTGGACGATGGGACAAGTAATCATGGCCTAGCACCCTACCAGTAAGCCTAAATCAATAAAGCCAACCAGCATTAAATGCCCCCCATGCTGGCATTTAATGCCTGAGGTAATGATTGAAGAAACCTCAAATTTCATTAAATACATGTCAGACGGACGCCGGACTGCTTTTCAAAATCACTGTGCGACAAGACCGGTGAACAGTAGCTGAATAGTGCCACATTAAAGACTACTATAAATAGCAGCTCATTTCATTTATTTTGGGTTGTTGAAATTCAACTAACTCTGTCTTCTCTCTACTTTCTCACTCTAAAACTGTAAGAAACTTATTGTAAGGATTGTAAGTATATCGCAAGTGCCGACCTTGTACGAGAGGCCGACTTCGTGATCGCTTAATAAAGCCGAAATTAAACCGAACCATCTTTTCATTTTTCAGTCTTTTGCTTTCGACATTCTTTATCTTAACCGTTAACCGAAAACGCTCGTCAACATATATATATATATATATATATAAGACATTTGAAAATCCAATTTATATAGTAGGAAAAAAAATAAAAAAATAAAATCTTAAATTTTCAACCCACTCACTCGTACACCTTATCAGGAGTGAATATATTCGAATGCCGCACCGATGAGAGAATTTAGATCAAACCCAATAATTTCAGAGTACGAAATAAGAACATCAACTGCAATTCTGATTTTGTTTTACTGTTATTTTCTTAGCTCTATGTGCAATAACAAGCTGGATAGAACTGTTAAATTAAACGAGCCGTTTGGTTCGACTCGACTCGTTAATACTCGATTCGACTCAAACTCAATTGATAAACGAGCCAAGCTAGAGTTCATTTAAAGCTCGTTTGCATAACGAGCCGAGCAGAAGGCTCTAAACGATAGTTTTTATGTATTTTCTATCATTCGAGTTATTAAGACTCGAGCTCAGCTTGTTAATAATGATAAATGAGCCAAGCTCGATATGTTAAAGAGCCGAGCTCGTCTCGTTATTTACCAAATATACTATTAAGCGATTTTGACGGTTCGAACTATTACATGATTTTTTTTTTTTATCAAAAGATTTATTATATTACTAACTTTTACATGTGTTTCAAATTACTAATTTTCACCAATTTGCTAATTATGAGCAAATACACTACTTGCATAGCATATGCACTAATTTATTATGTGCACAACATATAGAACACAATTGAAATACATCAATTATACAGCCTATTGTGGAGTTTTTTGTTGACAACTTGTGAGTTCTAATCATCTGCAATAAATTAAGCCTAATGCAAATATGTTGCAATTTGTTATTCATATATGAGAAAATTCAGTATAGTTGGTTCATAATTTTATTGTTATTCATATATGGGAAAGCCCAATAGAGTTGGCACGTACTTTAGAAAAAGGTTTCAACACTACTCAATATCTTTGAAAATGTGCATCAAATTATGTGAAAATTCTAAGGTCCTTTTACGAGATAATGCAATCAGTGTTTTTCACAATTCGATACACATATAAACTATTTTGTGTGGATAATCTACGATAACCAACATTGACGGAACCATTCCGTCAACGAAGACTGTAGTAGTTCCCCAAGTTGAGTTTAGTGATAAGAAAATTGGATCAATAAATATATAGATTTTCAAGTATATTCTATACTCAATTATAAGAATTGCAGATCAAGACTTTGACCTCATGAGTCAACTATGTGCCCTTGAAATCAAAGATCAATGTTAATGTTGATTTTTTATTTATTTTTTTCCACAACAAAAGCAATAATAAGTAATAACCCAAATTGCAAATCAATTAGGCCGCGTTTATTAACAAAGACAGGATTAGACAATGCAATTAGATAATTATATTTTCCACAGATATGACACATGCATACTTTCAAATTATAATATCATATTTTATTTGTTAAAACAAAATATGACTTTTTAAGCATAAATATATGTTATGTTTTAGAACGTACGAAGAATTAATCCACTTAATTAACTAACAATTTACACAAATTTGTGAAAATTAAAAGGTAACCGTTTCCCTTTAGACAAACAAATGATTGTTTAGTCCATATAATTTTTTCCAACGGTCACCATTTTCAAAACCCATTCAAATTCTCGCTAAAAACCCTTCCCCTTTCACTTCCATAATAAATCAATTCAAGAAATTCAAGAACACACGAACCTCTCTCAATCCGAGCTACAATGGCTGACAATCAAGAACACGCAAACCCTAAAGAAAGGGAAATCCCAGTTTTCACGGTCCTGAAAAACAACTGCATCCTCAAGAACATCTTCCTTCTGGACAACCCTCCTTCAGTTTCAGTTCCGGACAATGTCGATCGAGAATCGGAAATGGAGGAGATAATATTGATCGTCGGCAGGCATCCCGATTGCAATATCAAATTGGAGCACCCGAGTATTAGCAGATTTCATCTCCACATTCACTCGAAACCCTCCTCTCGATCTCTTCATGTAACCGATTTGTCCTCTGGTAAAGATTCCTCTTTTCCTTTGCCCATTTGATTTTAAGACATTTCCACTCTGTGTATGCGTTTTCGCGTGAAAATCTGTATTGTTTGTTCCTATTGTTGGGTTTTTTTCATTTTTATTTTTTATATGTTGTCTACCCAAGCTCTGATTGTGTATGTCGTGTTTCTTGGACTCATGTGGATATTCTCTTCGATTCTCGCTCTTTGTGACCGTGTTTTCGTGCGTGGAACGTGTTTTTAAATGAAAATCATTTGCCCTTTTTCTGGTTGTTTGTCTTTAAATCAATGGCCTTTTCTGACGGCATTATGAATTTGTGATAGCTGTTGTGCTTATTAAGTGTCGACAGTAGAGTTTTTCTTAGTTGTTTTTATTGTTTATGGTGTGTTTCCTTTTCATTTCACCTGTGTCCTGTTTTTCTTGGTTTGATTTATGTTCTTTTGTTGTTTTTTTCTCGTCCCAGTACATGGGACTTGGATCTCGGAAAATAGAGTCGAGCCAGGGGTCAGGATGAAACTAAACGAGGGTGATACTTTACGACTTGGGGCTTCGAGTAGGCTGTACAGGCTCGACTGGGTTCCGATCAGCCGTGCTTATGACATAGAAAACCCATTTGTGCCTCAACTGGATGAGGCCGATACAGTTGAAGAAGAACAAGGCAAAGCAATCGACCAGGTTATTTTTTTTTTCTTTTTCTTTTCAAGAATTTTACAAAACAATCTCTTTTCACAGATAGATTTGTATTTTTTTTTTCTTATTATTCTTTTTTTTGGTTTTTTTTAGGATCAGCACATGTTGTTTGATAGAAATGATCAAGTTGAGGCCATTGGGGATGATTTGGAAGGCCTAGAACGGCTATTTCTAGATGAAAATTTTGGTTCTTCTGTTCAAAAAACGAGGCCTATGGCGTCTGAAGACTTGCATAATTCAGTTTCGATTGAGGAAATAGAGAAATGCAGTTCACCTGGATTTTACAGTCAAGAAAATGACTTCTGCATTGGCCAGCCGTGTCAATTTGAACAAGAAAACGGCACCCCTTGTGAGCTGATAGAAACTTCGGATAACAGTAGGATGAATTCAACGAAAAAATCGGGTATTAACATTTGGTCGAGAAGGGGTAAACCTGAAAGTGTCCGGATTGAGATCAGCCGGCTCAGAGTAAAATCTGCAAGAATCATCAACACTAGCTCACTGGTTGAAAAATCTTTTATCGATGAAAATGAAAATAGTGAATCGATTCCTATGTATCTTGATGACGAGGAAGAAAATTTCACGCGTGATAAGGAGAATGCCTCTCCCGGTTCACTCCTACTCAAAACCTTAAAGAGTGGAAAGAGAGAAAGATTAAACAGTGATGAACTGGTTTTGATGAGCACACCTGTCCCTAGTGTAGACCTTGATGAAGAAATTTTCACTCCAGACAAAGAGAATATGACTCCAGGCAGTCGTCTACTTAGGTCCATGAAAAATGCTGCAGGTAAACACCCAAGTTCTTCACATAGATCATCGCCCTTGAGTAAAGCGTATAAGAGCAACATATATCAAGAGGAAACCGTGCCCCGTTCTGTAGATGCAAAATCAACAAATTCTGCTTCTAAATTGCGTGGTAGCTCGAAGAAAGAGTTGGCTCTGTCAGAAGGCACAGCAAATCGGAGGGTACCCTTTTGCCCTTTGCCTCTCGAATCTCTTAGTGGCCCTAAGAGCACCTCGAACCCCTCGATTTGTGAGGATAACGGTAACACTATGAAAGATAGCAAGTCTATCAAGTATGCCGAGCCTGAAGAGGTAACTTGCTCAAATGTGAGTTAAAACAAACAGACATAGTTTTCTTCTGTGTATATTTAAACGGTGCGTGTTCGAAATTGTTTTGAATTTGAATGCAAATTTTGCAGAATAAAACAACACAGGTTGCAAATGACAATTGGATTATTGTAATCGACACACCATGCTTGCTGGACAAGAAATCGAGAAAGGAGCTGAACCTGCTGCGTGGCCTTAAAGGAACTAATTTGGTTATTCCTAGGATTGGTAAAACGTCCTAACCGGCTCCAAATACTTCTTTCTTTTTTCATAAATCTTAATAAAGTTGCCCCAATACTTTTCTATATTGACCCTTTTTTTTCTTTGTCATCCTCAGTTGTGAGAGAACTGGACTGCATGCTAAGACGTGCAAGTTTCTTCACAAGAACTCGGGAGATTTACGCAGCATTGCAATTTATCGAGGAAAGCATGACAGTAGCTAAATGGTGGATTCACGTGCAGAGCTCAGCCGAGGAAATCGGGCTTGTACCACCGACCCCTCCTGCCTCTTCTTCTCCCCATTGGTTCAGTGAGGACACATGGGTGAATTCTATTGGCTCGTCGACTCCATTTTCCCCATGTAGCTTGCAGGAAATCGTGACCCCAACTGCTGGGGACCACATTCTTGATTACGCGCTTTGCTGCAGGAAGATTAGGAAAGATGGACAAATCGTCCTTCTCTCGGATGATGTTACTCTGAAGATCAAGGCCATGGCAGAGGTTAGTAAATATAACCAACACTCTGAGGAAAAAATTTGTTTTGTTAACAAATACCGCTTTGTGGGTCCGAAAGAACCAGCGTCGATATTAGCAATTTTGAAAAGAATGGGGCTCTTTTGCAATTAAAATATAAATTTTTGAGGGGTATTTTTCAGAATTACAAAATACTCCTTTGAACTTTTAAGTTTCCATAATAGCTAAAGTAGTTGCCATAATTAAACTGAAGTTTTAAGGTACTTGGCTACTTTATGTTATTTTGGTTATTCACCCTTTAATAAGATGTCACTTTGAACATGTAATGAATTGGTAGATTATAACATTATAGACTATATAGAATAATGGCTATTGTCATATTTTTTTGTGCAGGGTGTGTTGTGCGAGACAGCTTGGGAGTTCCGTAAGAGTCTTGTGAACCCGTTCTCGGCTCGGTGTTTGTTCATCAACTGTTCCCCTGTCGGACCTACTTGGACGTGTGAGGATGATGATGTGCTGAAGGAGAAATATTATCCGAGCACTTCAAAAAAAGTGACGAAATCGAGTGAAAGTGGGGGTGTGAAGGGCTTGAAGCTCATACTTAAGCATAACTCCAGTTTCAGGCAGATCAGACCAGTCTAGCTAAACTCTCACTGTCTTGCTGTAGAAAAAAACATGGTTTTGACTGAAAATATATTGTTCTTAACATTGAAGCTATATATGCTTTCAGTTTCTTGTTGCATTTAAAGAGGTTAAGCTGTCTCAGATTCTGTCAGTTCATATATTTTATAGAAAGTAAATATGTTCTAAAATAAATATATTCTAAGGTGCAACTAGGGATGGCATAACAAATACAATTAACAAGTATGGCTTCAAAATATACAAGAACCAATAAACTAATAATTTAATTATCCTCCTTACAAAATATTCTTTTCTAGCAAGACCACCTCTGCCAAATGCTGCATGGCCAAAACTGGAAAAATGTATCAGACTCGAGTCCCTAGAAATTACAAATCGAGAAAAAAATCTGATTAATCCGAAACCCAAAATCCGGGTCTTCTATTTCTTTTTCGATTTGATGGGGACTCCTTTGTACATTGCCACTTGGTCCTTAAGAGCAT